TATTTCTTGAGTCTGCCAGCGTCCAGCTTTCTGTTCATGAGGAACTTATCAAGCCTAACTCCTTACTCATTGACCCAGGGGTAAAGATGGTAGAAGTAGGGACAGGACTCAGTCTCGATTAGGCTAGGATCCTTGCACAGCCCAGACTGCCCTTTGTGTAGATACTGTTCCTACTGGAATCTTGCTGACCCGTCCCATCCCTCCTGGCTATTCATAGTCCTCTTTCTATCCTCTTCCTGCTGAGGCTGAGTGGCCTACGCCATGATCCCCAACCATAGAATACCCTGCACAACTGTTACATCTTCCTAAAGCCTCTCTCTCTGGAATGACTTAGAAAATAGCCTCAACTTAGGCTGTTGATTGTATGAGCTGTGTACTAGTCCGGCCCAGCCCCAGCAGTGACAGCCATTCAGGTCTTCTAGAAACAGACTCATAAGATAACTGTGTCAAAAGTTGTGTTGTCACTGCTCCTGAGGGCACTGTGGAATATTACTCTCAAGGCCTAGGGAAGACCTTAGTGTGACAACTCTACACTGTGTTTTATATTTGCCTCCATGAGATCTGAGTTTTAGAGGATGGATTCCTTGTATCCAAGATATGATTCTCAGCCTCTTGAGAACAAAACTTTGATAGAGGCAAAGGTGGTTTGACTTCAGTAATCTTAGCTAAATGTTCTGAGTTTCTGACAATATACATTCAAGAAGAAGTTCTTGTCCTGATTCAGTTCTGCAGTATGGGAGAGGTAGTGTTTCACTATGGCATTCTTCAATCAAAATACGAAAGGATATGGAAATGTCAGTCTGTAGTAGACATTTCACCTTCATAGGGTACACAGATCACATGGCCCTCAAAATATTTTAGGTAACTAACCTGAATTATAGTATCAGGAACAGCTCTGACCATGGAAAGTTTGGATGAGAAGATTGATTTTCCTTCTGTCACCTTTGTAGCAATGACCATCAAAACAGAAGGGGAGAAAATTGATCAAAGATAGATAACACAGTTTAGTACTTGAGTAGTCCATTGTACAAGTCTAGCCTAGGGACTAAAGTCATTGGCTGAGTAAAAATTAGCTCTTCCTTAGTTATATTCATCTGTGGGATGAGCATCCTCAACCAGGTAGAACAGAGATGGTTGCTACTTTCCTTTATATTTACTTGCCATTCCGTAGTGGGGAGAAACAGAAAGATAGTATGCAGAATTTTATTTTACTTCCTTCTCCTCTGTAAAATGTGAGCATGGTTTTTTCAACCTAACTTCATGCACAGACAGCTGGGCAACTGCTCTGTTGCTGATTTACCTAATTGAGAACATGGGCAAGACTTTTAAAAAATATCCCAAACCTGAAATCACACAAAGACCCAGTATTGATCCAAGCCTTCTGTTTGTAATTTCTCTATTAGAATTAAAGAAGCAGGTGTATCCTTTGATAAAGCAATTTTTTTTAAGTAGAACAAAATAGAGGTGTGTCCCAACTCTGCCAAACATGTTTCTCAATAAACTGGAATCACATTTTGATAACCACATGGCTTTTTATTCCCTGATGATTTAGCCATTCTTAAATGCATGAATGATATCAGAATGTGACTTAATCTATTGCCTGATTTTTTTTTGTAATTTTTTTTTTTTCGAGTCAGAGTCTTACTCTACTACCCAGGCTGGAGTGCAATGGCATGAGCATGACTACCAGTCTCAAACTGCTGGACCTAGGCAGTCTTTCGTCTCAGCCTTGCAAGTAGCTGGGACTACAGATGCGTACCACCACACCTGGCTAATTTTTTAACAACTATTTAATGTAGAGATGAGGTCTTACCATGTTGCCCAGGCTGGTCTTGAACTCCTGGCCCAGACAATCCTCTCACCTCAGCCTCCCAAAGTGCTGAGATTATAGGCATGAGCCAGGACCCACCGTGCCCAGCCTGTTGCCTGATTACTAAAATAAGGGGTATACATATTCACCCAAATACAAATTCTTACCTTTGCCCAAAGAATATTGGCATTCTTGGCCCTGTTCTCAGGTGCTTTCCAGGTTCTTCTCCAGGTGGAGGTGGCATTTGACCTGGTCTGTGCCTTTCCAAGGAGCTGCAGTTTTCTTAGCATGCCAGTCTTATCTAGATCATGAAAACATACAGGTCTTCCCTTCATCAAAAGCAAAAGATGGCGATACCGTGGGCTTCTGTGGAACGTTATCGCCATTTCACAGCTGTCTAATACCTTTCAAAAGCTTGCTAGAGAACAGTGATTTCTGAGGACCTGTAGAAGAGGATTTCGTGCTGTTCCTCTAGAACAGTGACTTGGGTGGAGGAGGAACCACTCAGCTATGTACACCACTGCTGTAAGGACTCGTGTGACCACTGGGAGAGGAGTGATCCCTCGAGTCTGTGGTGGGAAGGAAAAAATACCAGGAGTCACTGTTCTAGGTCCTCAAACAGTGCTCCTGGATTTTAAAATATATTTTAATTACTCAATAAAAACTACTTTAGTAAGAAACTCAAATATTATGGCAAAGTGCTCTGAGCAGTGCCTGGCACATGCTTCACACCAAGTGCTTACTGTGTATTTACAGCGCTGCTTGAGCCATAGTGCACTGGTCTCCACAGAATCGCTTTGGCCTTGGGCCCATATTCCCCATTAGCATCTGAACTATTTTGAGGGCATCACACAAAAGCAATGAGTTCTACTGGGCTTTGTGTACTGTAAGTATGTCGTCATAGATGTTGTTTATCCCATTACACAAAGTCTCTCTGTGAAAATGAGCAGTTTCTCCCTTACTCAGGAATAGCTATGCTTTGCCTAGGCAGTCGATTTGATTTTACTATACTGATCTGTACGTCTTTTAACTAATTGTGCTTCTCTTTTGTCATTGGCTGCTGGAGTGGAACTAGATTTCTGATCCCCCTTCTAGCATGTGCTATGGACTCTGGTGTGCATTTTGTTTGTTAACTGAACTTATGACTTCAATTTACTTTTTTACTCCCCCCCACCCCCTTTTTTTTGTCAACTAGTAAAAAAACTGCCCTTCTGGGTGATTGTATGGGTAGACCTTTCGTTACAACAAAAAACTTTACCATATAGCATTTGAATAAGGCATCTTTAATGTGGTTGCTTGCTGGAGTCTGTGAAAGGAGTCTGGCCTTTGATCTTCTCTCCTGCACTTCCTGTTGAAGTGGCAGCCACCACTGCTGGGTAACCACATGTGTGTGCTGACTTTGGCATTGGGGCTTGACATGCAGACATTCACTTGGACGCCTGACTCCTTTTCTATTTTCTGTCCACTAAAAATCACCATCACATGAGTTCTTTGACAGAGAAGAATTTGATCTGCTATTAAGAATTATTTTCTTAAATTTTCTCCTTAGGTTCTGAGAAAATGTAAGTTATAATATATACTTGGATGTTAGTCAGAGAATTTGACCATGTGAGAATTGGAATATTAATATAACAACAATAAACTGCCATCAACAAAGATGGCATTTGTGATTGTTAAGGCCCTTTGTCTGTGGCATGAAAGAGCTTCCACAACATTAACAAGATGCAGGCTCCAGAGAGGCTGAAGGGAAAGGTGGCAGGTGCTATGTGCTATCCAAACTCTGCCTGGTACAGCGGCCCTGGGAAGTGGCCTCTGGGCTTATCCTCCCACCACAGTTTCAACAGTCAGTGCTTTTCTCAGTAGTGATACTTTAGAGTTTGAATGCTAAATATCTGGTCCCCATTTCTGTTCTAGGACTGGGCATGGCTCTGTCACCCTTCTCATCTAGACAGAGCATTGGAAAACGGTTGGTCGATAGAAGGAAGGAAGGAGTTGCCCATTCTCATGAAGGAAGGTGAAAGTGCCCATTCTAAAAACTGAAATGTGAGAACTGAACCCAGGACAACTCTGGGTTCCTGACCTGCCACTTTGCACAATCATGACTTTCCTCTGGAGTGGTAGACACCTGCTTCATAAATATTGGAGCCTTTATTTCACTACAGCTCAGATGATCATGATAATCACTTCCCTTTTTAGCAATAAGATCTCCTTTTCAGATGCCAAGCCTCTGGATGTCTATTGTGGGCCAGCTGGGTATAAACTTTCCATTTAGCACAGAGGAAGGGAGCATTGGTGGTATTGGGGCCAGTGCCAGTAGCAGCCTTTTCCTTCCTGTCTGCCGACAACCAGGTCAGAAACACCCTAGAAAGTAACAGCCTCTGTCTTTGCTCAGGGCATTTGAATAAGATTCTGCCTCTCTCTGCCACTTCACACCCTCCTCCTCTCTTCTGTTTTTTTGTAGTTTCTGAGTACTGTTCATTGTCTGTGTTTTCCTCTTGAGATCCTTCTGACTGTTATTTAACATCTCAAGATACTTCACCTTAGCTCGATTCTCTTAGCTGTGCTCTAGCACTGTGGAAATGTGGCCTGCAAGCCTGGCCAACACTCTCTTTGGAGGGTGGGATTGGGGTGGAAAAGGATGTGTGAATAGACAAAGGACCTTGCAGCTGGCATCCCCCATCCTCCATGCTTGCTGTGATCTTCAGGATGGGCCTCCTGCAGCAAGGTATGTCTTGGCTTTGGAGAGCATTGGCGTGAGAGTTCTATGCAGGAGCTATTCCCACATAGTTCCTTGGTGCATGGTCCCAACTACCTGGTCTCCTCAAAGACCAGACCCTCATTGTTCCTGTGCCTTTGTAGGCTGTACCTCCAGCTAAACCACACCCAGCATGTCCAGTCAAGTCAAGCATTACTAGGTCTGGAGCTCCTTGAAGGCCCTCCTGACTGGGGGTGAGGTCATTCTGGGGGTAACTGTGCCAACTTCCAAGGCACACCTTTCAGTGGCATGTGATCTGCTCTTCCTCGTGGTAGTTTTGAAATCTTGTGGTTTCCTGTTTTGCTAGGTGGTTTTGAACATATAATCAGTGAAACTGGCCTCACAAACTGCATACATTGCATATTCATTCCATTTGGAAGTTGGTAAGGTGTTTTTCCAACCTTTCAAGTGTATTCTTTTTTCTCCCTGCTTTAGTCCCAGGTAAATCACCATGGTGCTGCTAGTAATGAAACCTACCAGGAACGCTTGGCCCGTCTAGAAGGAGATAAGGAGTCTCTCATATTACAGGTGGGTCTTTTTGAGGGAACCAACTTATCTTGTTACCTCCAACTCTGTAGTTTCCCCTAAGTTGGAAGGAAGTACAGAGGGGTTTCTCCATTGGAATTTTTCTGCTCCCCAAATGTATGTGTTTTAAAAAGACTTTTCCTGAAACAAAGCAGAAAGTAACTGGGGGCACAGTTTAACTCTGGACTTGTCTTTTAGGGGTTGTGAATTCATTGATTTATTTATAATATACTATTAGGCACCTGCCTCGACACCCTGGAAGTCCCGTGGCCAGGCCGATCACCAGTTTCTAAGAATGAGCAAAACGGGCCCTGTCCTCCAGGAGCTCATGAGTCTTGTAAGGGAGGTTGGATATATCCTCTTGTCACTTAATAAAACAACATGGGCCTAAGGGTGAACGCTAATGGGAGCAAGTCCAAATGGTCTGAAGCTGGATGCAGACCGATCACTTTGATGCCAAATCCCCCGGGGCTGCCAACATGGACTATGCCTTTGGTGGCTCCCTAGCTTCAAAGAGAGAAACTTCAAAACTTTCCATGAAGAACGATAGTCAAAGGGGCTTTTTTATTTCTGAAAGCTTGTGTTCTTTGGTAGGACATCACATTAGGCGTTCTCACTGGAAGCCTGTTGTTGAAGCCAGAGCTCTTTGCTGTGTTAGCTCGCCAAAGTCTACATCAATTCAGCAAGCATTTACTCAAGGTCTGGTATGCATCAGATATTAATCGACAGTTTGGAAAGTATAAAGATTAATATTCTAATCCCAGCTTTTTAAAAGCTTAAGGAGTGATGAGTTCGACTGGTAGTGGAATGGAGCAGAGGGGTCTGGTATCCCCCTAGGCTGTAGGCTTTAGTTTGCAGCTCTAGGGTTGTGAAGGAGCAGTGTTTTTTTAAACCTTATTTATTTAATTTTTTTTTTTCATTTTGTTGTATGGACCTAACAGCGATACATGATTTTAGAGACTTTTGAAATTCTGCACTTGATCTTAGCCAAAAGGCCGAGAAGCGATGACTTTTGAAATTCTAAAATAATTTAAAGAAGCATGTTAACATTTTGGCCTTTTCTTCGGGTGTTGGTTTTTTGTTGTTGTTGTTCTTCCCTGCCTCTCTTTTAAATAATTGAGTTCATAAAAAATATGCAACTTTGCGTTCTAGTTTTGTTTTTTTCTTCACTTTATTGATTTGTTCATTATAAAATCACTGAGTATCCATGACTTGTGGGAGATAGGTTTTGGATGCTGGGGATGCAGCAGTGAACAAAACAAAGTCCCGTTCTTGTGGATCTTCCATTCTAGAGAGAGCTTATGTTTACAATAAACAAACCTACATAAATTATTTCGGGCAGTGATAAGCACTTTTGGGAAAAAATAAAGCAGGGTGAGGACTGTGTAGTCAGGGAGGACCTCCCTGATAGGAGGGAGCTGGGGAGGAATCTTGTAGATACCTGGAGAAGTGCATTCCGGGCTGAGGAGTGGTCAGTCCAGCCCATACACTGAAGCAAAAGTGTGTGGGGAAAAAGCTTGATGTGTGGGAAGGCAGCAAGGGGCCCTTGTGGCTAAAGGTGTACCTGACTAAGGATGGTGGGAGCTGCCTTCAGAGAGGTAGCTGGGGCCAGATTGTATAGCACATTATATGCAGATGTTTGAGGGATGTGTAATTTGAAACTCTTTCCGAATGACATGATTCATGAAAGAGTATCTATCTTAGAATTTTGTGTTAAACTTTGGAACCAGGACCCTTCATGAGTGAAATAGCACATTCCTATTTAGAGAGGACTACAACTTAATAAAGAAGTCCTATGTAATAATGCTTCTTCACACTCATGCTTTGTTTTGTTTTTTTTATTGTAAAGATGTAGGGTACAAATCAGGGTTAGGTATACAAACATTGATTATGCAGGTAACCTTGTTGATGAGGTGTACTCCCCCATCCCCAGGCGGTTTCCCACTACTGCCAATCACACTCATGGTTTTTAGAAAAAAATCTGAATTTTTAAATCATCCCTATTTAAATAATCCTAACACAGTTGGGAAGCTACTTACCAGTAAAGTCAGAAGTTGGCCCTAGTGGTTTCTGTTCTGCCAGGAGTTTATGGGCCAATTCTAGGAATTGCTCTTATGTGATCACTCCTGTTCTTCCGTGGCCCTATGGAGCTGGTTAAACAGATCCTCAGCAGGGTAGAGCCTCTTGCTTCTTGCACACAGCAGTTCAGACTGATTTAATTGGAGCCCTTGGCCCAGAATGTTTTCCTAGGTCTACTTGCAGAAGAACAAGGCAAATGGCATATTAAGAATACTTTGTTTATAGGATTAGTTAAAATCAAAACCAAAATCTTTTAAAATCTTCATTATAATTGTAACTCCTTAAAGCAAGGATCTCCGCTCTTTTTTTTTCACTTCTGTATCTCCAGTACCTAAAATTATGCCTAGCCTGTGGTAGGGGCTCCAAAATATTTATCTTTATTGAATGAAAGTCACATTCTAGAATCTTTATACATTTTGTCCCAATTTTTGACACATAATACTTAGAGTTAACATTGAGGCTCGTAAGGACCCTGCAGCCCTGTATTTTGTGTAGCTGAACTATGAGCTGTAGAGACCATATATTCTTCCTCTGGGCACCAGCAGCACATGGCCCCAAGGTGTGGTGAAGACCATATAAATGTTAATCTTCGTAATAAAATTATTCAGAAAACTCCCTTCCCAAACAAAATGTGGATCCTAGGAAGCAAAGCTCTCCCCAGAATCCTACGTTTTTGAAAGGCCAGGACTGCTGGTAGTGTCGGGCCACAAGGATTAAAAAATAAAAACCACAAAGGTTTGTGTTTAAGATGGGCCTGTGGTACCACTGCACTTCAGCTTGGGTGAGAGTGAGACTCCAACTCAAAAAAAAAAAAAAAAGATGGGCCTCGTTGACAGAACTTGTTTTTGGATTAAAAGTGAAATGTTAGCAATGTCAGGAATATGTTTCAGTAATTCAGTCATCACTTGGGAACATAAAAATGGCAAGCGTCAAATAGCCATATTAATTTAGATTAATCTCTTTTTAAACCGGAGCTGCATAATTCATAGCATTTATTTAAACACTCATAAATAGATTCATATGAACTCTTTCATGCTCCTTCTATCATTTCATTACAGATTGAGAAATAATTTAGGATAATCTTCATGTAAATGGAAATGATTCTAATCAAAAGGATCCAAAAGATCTTAACTTTCCAACCACTGTTTTCTTTCTTTTTTTTTTTTTAACTTTTGGGTTGCCATTTATTCTCTTTATCTTCCTGCTTTGAGCCAGCTCTTAATAAAGAAAAGTGTCCTAGGGCAGCTTGCAAATAGAGAAGGCTATGAAAACCCTTTTTGGTATGTATTTAGGGCATCATTTAAGTGACTTATTATAAATGGCTTTCTATTAATATTTTTAGAGATTCTCAAAGCTCTTCAGAAAGATAGCTTTTTTCCTGCCACTGTATGTGCAATGTGGCTTCTCTATATTTATGACTTAGAGTCATGTTTTGGCCTGTGAAGCACAAAAACCTTTTTGGAGCCAAGTTTTGTCAGTGCTAATACATGCCCTTTACAGTCTGCATTCCTTAATTGCCTCAAAACACTTGCCTGATAGGTGAGCAGGCCTCACAACCTTATGAAAGAGGTAAGGTCATTGGTTGGTTTCTGCACAAGTTTGGATCGCACTCCTGCCTGAGGTGGCAGAAACTCTGGCAAGCCGGCTGAGATATGTCTTGAGGTCAGGCTGTCCTATAAGAGGAATAAGTATCAGGAGTCCAACCCAGAGGCACCTCGTGTGGCTCTTGGGTGTTTCTCTCTTGAGTCTGTCAAGAGCAGGAAACGTGACCCACGTCATCCAGACAGTGTTTGAGACTTCCTGGTAAGGTAAGAATCTAATTCGAATTGCCTTCATCCAGAACACTTCCCCCCCTGCCACTCACCCAAAAGCAAAGCTATTCCTCACATGGAAGAGTCAGTGGTGAGGTTTCACCGCTCCCCTATGATGGGGAGACTTTCCTGCCCCATGCAGAGTCCCTGTTCTTCCATCAATGTTTTATTTCCTATAACAGGTGAGTGTCCTCACAGACCAAGTGGAAGCCCAAGGAGAGAAGATTCGGGATCTGGAAGTGTGTCTGGAAGGACACCAGGTGAAACTCAATGCTGCTGAAGAAATGCTTCAACAGGTAAGGGCAGGTGGGTTGAAGGCCACTGGGCTCTGAAGCAGCTCATGTGCTGAAGCCCCTTTACGTGCCCAGGCCACACTCTTGCTTACTTTCCCATCCCGCCTGGGGGCGGGATCAGCTACTCAGTGTATAGTGTTTATACAGCAGGTGAAACCAGCCTGAACATTGAGAGTGACTGAGGGGTAGGGCTGGGAGGGGCTGACCTGAGATGAATAACCTGTTGAGCTGGTTAGACAGATTCCCAGGCAGCACTTTCTCCAGACCTGGTGCGGGGAGGGAGCCCTCAGCAGGGGATGTCATCTCATCCTATCACAGTAATCACAGTTTGACTGTGGGTGGCATCTGGGGTTTTAGAAGGTCAATTCTCAGTTTATGCTGTGCTGCTTTCCCATCTTGCGCTACCCACTTCCACTGTGTATTACATAAATAATTTGTTATAATTTAACAGGCATCACAATGAAAAATGAAAAAAATGTATTCAGCTGTTCCCCTACCACTCAAATAATGCCTTCTCCTTACTATCTTTTGGTCTTCGTTGTTATGTGTACACATAATTTACAAAGCTGTAGTCACAACATGGTGTGATTTTGTCCTCAGAGTTTTATGCTTGATAGCATATAGTGGTATTTTCCATTTAAAAATTTGTCCATGTAGTCATCTTTACTATCACTCACAAAAGACTTTTTTAAATGAAATTATCATAATTGACTTAACTATTCTTCTACTCAGTAGTTTTGCTGTATTCTAAATGATAAACTGTAATTTTGGGGGGAGTGGTGTTGAATTTTGATCAAGTCTTTTCAGAATTTGTTGAGAAGCTAATTAGATTTTTAAAATGAAATCTATTAATGTGACATATCTACTTGATAGATTTACTTAAAGCATTCTGGCATTTTTAAGTTATTTTGAAAAGTACACATGACTGACGTTTGTGTGTTCTTGATAGCAGCCGGTATAGTAATTAGCACATAAAAGTTGCTCACCAATTATTTAAAGAACAAAAGTCAGTCCCTTAAAATGAGTAGATTCAATTAGTTTACAACTGATAATTTCCTCCTCCAAAGTACTAAAAGATTTTGTTGTTGTGATCAGCATAAGGCTCAAATTGTTTCTTGACAGCATACTAGTGAACAGACTTTGCATTTTACCTTTGATCTTAGGATAAGCATCTTAATTCCGGTGTTTGCTAGTTTTATTTGAGTGCATTTGAAGAACTTTAGAAAAATGTAAGTCAGTATTTTTATGCATATATCTTCATAAAAACTAGTTCTCACAGCTCAGGAGCTGTTGTTAGTTTGTTATCTTTTCAGTGCTGATTAATAAATTGCCATTCTTGGTTTCATTGGATTTTCCATGTTCGTAGATTGTATGCCATTTCATTTGCTCATAGTATTCCCTGAAAATCCAAGTAGCAATGGGCGTTGAGTCTTTTTTTAAGTGGAATCTTTCTTTTGAAGATCCAGGAAAGAAAATAGTCTGATGAAAAAAAAATCTCAAATGACAGACAAACATTTTCACAAAGGTTGCAGAAAACTCACTAGATTATATTTTCAAGTCTGCACAAGGTGTGGTTTCAAGGTGGAAAGAGATAAGGGGAGAAGATGATGGAGTGTTGTAAACAATCCAGAAAGAGACCAAGAAAATTGGAATGTGGAAGGGAAAATGTCAGAAGGTTGATGTTTCAGGAAGGTGGTACCTGGTGAGTAACCACATAATGAGAGGTCAGAGAATGGCTGTATTGTAGTGCCTGATTTACCTGACTGCCCATATGAGAAGTTCTCATGACTGCTCCATAATCTCTCTAGTGCGGTGTTTCTGCTTCCACTGTCAATCTCTGCGTCAAGGAGTCTGATGTTGGTGCCCAGCACCACCTGGGGAGAGGCTGTCTTGTCCCTCTAAGCATTAACCCACGGATGACATTTTAAAAAAGTCATAAGCTCAATTATCCCTTATATTCTGCTTATTCTAAATCCTCTTTCTTGTGTGCTACTGGTATGGTATTGGTCATGTGGTACCATGTGCTGTAGAGGTGGATGTCTTGGCCTGGTATATTTTGGAGTATGGTAGCCCTTTATTTGCCTCTTGTATGTTTCAAAGATCTTCATGAACCTAACCAAGTTGTTTTTATGCCTATAAACTTTCACTGTGTTCTCTCAGTCTTTCAAGGATAAAATGATAGGAGCGTGGAATATTCCTTTCTTGACAAATTGTGAGTTCAAGCCATAGGATGCATTTGAACCTCAGCTCTCACTCAGAAATTTCCTGGGCTTGGTGGCACCAGAGCTTGAGATCTTTGAGTTGCTCTCCTGAAATCTGCTTGATGCTGTTTGAAAAGACGCCTACTCGAGTCTTGCACCACAGTGCAGATGCAATGCCATCAATGGCTTGGAGTATGTACCTGTCCTCTGAGCTGGGGACAGGCAAACACTTGCTCAGTTTGACTGAGATATCCTGGACTGCGGGGCTCTTGGCATCTGGTGATAGGAGCAAGAATGACTCATGACCTGGAGGCAGAGAATGGAGGCAAACAATTGCCTCGTTCTGCCAGCCTCAGAGACCATTCCTGCCCTGAGCCAAGCCTGGCCTATTGCTCAAAAGTCTTGGGAGCACCAACGGAAATCCTTTCACTGTGTCAGCTTGGGACCTTCTGATTGCCTACAGACAAGGTGCTTCCCCTGGGTATGCTGTTCCTGATAACCCCACATACTGAAGATGTCTTGTCTGATGGCGGCAGCTGCTACTCAACTACAGTTGACTGCCCATGTAGGCCTAGTAACACTAAATATTTCCATTTTTCATAAACTAGAAATTCAGATTTTAAGATGTTTATTTTTTATAATATTGGCAGCTAAATTAAAATAATTAAAAATGCTGTATGAATCACACCTACATACTTGTAGGTCAAGCCTGGCCTTAAGACCTTCAATACGCCAGGCGTTGTGACTCAAGCCTGTAATCCCAGCACTTTGGGAGGCAGAGGCAAGAGGATTGCCTGAGCCCATGGGTTTGAGACCAGTCTGGGCAACTTGGCAAGACTTCATTTCTACAGTAAATCAAAAGATTAGCCAGGTGTGGTGGCATACACCTGTAATTCCAGCTACTTGGAAGACTGAGGAGGAAGGATCGCCTGAGTCCAGCAGGTCAAGGCCGCAGTGGCCGTGAGCATGCCACTGAACTCCTGCCTCCTCCTCAACTCAAAAAAAAATAAAATAAAATAAGACCTTCAATCCTCTCTACTGGCTGGAATATCACTAGGAAGAATTAAGGAAGCCCAAATCAAATGAACACAGCCTAAATCCTTTGCTTAGTTGGGCTTCAAGAACCCCACTGAACTGTCTCTCTTCATACTATTCTCCTGACCAATTTCAGCCTCCCTCCAGGAGCCCAAGGGGGAGTTAGTTTTCCACCCAACAAACCATCCTCAAGCCTGACCTGACCCTGCTCCTGCTGTGTGCTGATCTCTCAGCTCCTATCTGTTTTAGTTTGTATATGAACTATATGTATATGTATAGTTTGTATCCAGCCTCTAGAAAGAGAGAGCATGAAGACCTCTCTTGGGTTTAGATAGTCAAACTAGGACCAGACAGAATCAGTACAGGACAAGTCCACACGAGTAGCACCTAGATTGTGAACACATTTGAGGACAAAAAGAAATATTTCTCGACTGTGGCCCTCTGCGGGATGTGGGTAGGAAGGAAGGAAGGGATAGCTACAAACATATCTCAGGACTGCTTGTGGAAATACCTACTCAGATGTAGTCCCAAACTCATTGAACCTGTCTGGATTGCCCAGGAAACCTTCCCCATTAAGAAGAGACATTTCTTGTCTGGGCACGGTGGCTCAAGCCTGTAATCTCAGCACTTTGGGAGGCCGAGGTGAGAGGATTGCCTGAGCCCACGGGTTCCAGACCAGCCTTGGCAATTTGGCGAGACCTTATCTCCACAGTAAATCAAAAAATAAGCTGGATATGGTGGCACACACCTGTAGTTTCAGCTAGGTGGAAGACTGAGGCAGAAGGATCGCCAGAGCTCAGCAGGTCAAGGCTGCAGTGTTCATGAGTTTGCCACTGCACTCCAGCCTGGACAATCCCTGGGCTCAGGCAGTCCTCTTGCCTCAGCCTCCCAAAGTGCTGGGATTACAAGTTTGAGCCACCGCTCCTGGCCTCAAATGAATCTTTAAGAAGGGATCAGTCTGAGTCAGTTTTCGCTGGTCTGGGATCATTTGAGCCTAGTCTAGAGCTCACAGTGCTAGATCCTGCCTCTTGGATCCTTAACAGGTCGAGGCATGGCCCAGCTACACACTGAAGCCATAGGAGCCCAGGGCATAGACCAGAGACTTCCATGTTACTAGCTCAGATCATGCTAGCAACAAAATCTGCATCACAGGGAGGATGCCCCTTAGTCTGTTGGTATATTTGAGATGCCTGGTGACTTTTTCTAAAATGGCCTCCATGGGCTCTCCGGGGTCTAGTAGTTTCCTGCACAGTAAGCTCTCCTGCCTCTGATCACTGACCCTTCTCCAGAGGGTGATGATCTCAGGAAGAAGCTGATATTGCTCCATGGTTAAGAGGTTTTATTCAGAGCTGGCAGCCAAACAAAGCATTTGCCCTAACTAGCCATTTCCAGATGTCATTGCTGTTGAGAACAGAAAGGATGTTCAGTATCAAAAGGAACACAGGGTACAGGAGTACAGTGGAGAGGAAGAGAGGATGCAAACCCTCCTTGTTAGGACACAACCCTGCTTTTGGAAATCCCTGGATGACACCATCCTCTACTTCCATCTTCCAACCTGGCCCAGAGCTTCAGAGTTTAGGCAACTTCATTGCTCTGGCTGTCTTTTAGGTTGTGGAGAGTGACAAATATAGGCAATCCGGAGTCAGCAGACATGAGTTTTGCAGATTTACCACTTGCTGTTTATCAGGGAAAGTCAATGAATCTGTTTTCTTACTTGTAGAGAGTGAGGATGACAATATGGATGCTATATTGCCCACCTCTTACCTC